GAGATCTTAATTCATAAACAAAGATAAATCAGTTGGTCCTTTTTTAAAGCTGATATATATGTGGCAAATTATCAGACAAAAATGGGGGCATTGGCATTTAAATACATACCACCCAATTCCTACGTACTTACATATCTACAACCTGAAATTTACATTTTACATTTATACCACCCAAATCTTTCATATTACAACAAAAATCTACTGTTTTAAGTTTAAAAAAATTGAAATATGCCTTTTTATTCATAGGTAAGGTAGCATACATGTAAAAAATGAAGTTTATGTATTAGATATGTATATACATAAGAATTGAGTGGTATGTATGTAAATCTTCTTAGAAAAGGATGATTTAGGAGTTGCCTAAATCTAAAGACGGAAGGAGTTTCCTTGACAGGGATGAAGGCTGGAGGGAAGAGTAACATTTCATTAATTCTTATCTATTGTTTACATAGTACAAGGAGTATATATAGGTCATGTGGAACTTTCTAGAGTTGCGGCTTATCACCTGCTTCCATTAGGTTGTGGTTTTAATATTATTGGTGTTGGGGACCACTAGTAGTGGTGCTATGTTTAATACCCTAATGCAAGCTGATGGCTCTTGGTAGAACAATAAGCTCGGTGCAAAGATCACGAAAATTGATGTTTGGGGAAAGCTTTTGCGAGGATGTCAGCTGGTTGCTATCGAGATTAAATGTGTTCAAGGTGAATGTTGTTGAGGTTGATGTGATCACGGCGAAAGTGGTGATCGATCTCTCTGTATTTGGTCCACGCATGGAATATAGGATTATTGGCCAGGGATATTGCTAAGATGTTGTCGTAGTAGAGATGTGTCGGTTGAGTGATAGGAATTTCAAATTTCGTAATAAGGCGCAAAAGCCATAAGATATCAGTCGTAGCAATGGCTTATGCACAATATTCGGCCTCAGTGGAGGACCGAGTGATAATAGACTATTTCTTCCCTTGCCAGGAAATAAGTGTCGCCAAGAAACGAACATACCTCGGTTGTGGATTTTCGGTCGGAGTGATCACCCGCCCAGTTGACATCCGCATATGATATGAGTTGAAGGTTAGCTGGTTCAATCTTCATACTAAAATGATTCGTACCTTTCAAGTACCGAAGTACCGAAACAAATGAGTAAGATTCTTGTGGTTGTCTATAGTGGGTGAGTGCTGACAAAGGCGATTAACTGCGTATGCAAAGTCTGTTTGTGTGATTGTGAGACACTGAACTCCCCTGTCAGCTGGCAGTAGAGTGTCTGGTTGTGGAATGGAGGGCTTGAGATGGTAGCAGCGGATTGCTTCGATTGCATACATTTGCTGATGGGTTCGCAATCCTGTACTCCCACGGTCTCAAGAAGTTGAAGTACATGCCTTTATTGACCAAGGAAATATTGAGCAGTGAACTTCAATTCCCAGAAATCAGCCAACAGGGTCGAGATGTTTGAGTTGGAAACAACTATAAGTTGGGAAATGTGCGTGGAACTGTTGCCCGTGAGAAAAAAATCGTCAACATAAATGAGTACGAAGATGCAGAAATTGTGTTGATTATAGAGACTCGACCATGGATCAACCTTGCTGATTTGAAAACCTCTTATGGTAAAGAAGGCGGAGAAGGTAAGAAACCATTAGCGAGGGCTTGTTTTAGCCCATATATGAATTTCTTAAGTAGACATACATGTTTGAGAAATTGTGGATCGTGGAACTACGATAGTTGTTTCATGTATACTGCTTCATTGAGTGCGCCGCGGAGCAACACATTTGAAATGTCGAATTGAAGTATGGTACAGTTATGGTTGAGAGCAACTATAAGTAGTATGCAGATTGTAGGAAGTTTAGGCACAGAGCTAAAATGTTTCGTGTTACTTTATGCGAACTCTTGTTGGTAACCTTAGCCACTAGTCTTGCCTTGTACCTCATAACCATGCCTTTGGAGTTGACCTTAGCATTTTGCCAATGAGAATGCTTCGAGGCATGAGTGTAGGAAGTAGGATCGGGAAGTGGTTGAGTTGGTGGATCGGTTTGAGGGTACCCATTCTAAAGCAGTTTATCATGGAATGTGGAGGTGGATTGGAATTAAGTAGAATCGATTGGGCGGTTCATGTAGCTTTTGGAGAAGGTGTGGTAGTAGTTTGACTTGGAGATGTAGAGGAGAGTGTTGGAAGAGTAGGAGGAGGTTGGACCGTAGGGGATAAATAGGTGGTACGTGTTAAGAGGAATAGTGTAATCAGAAAAGTGATGGGTTGTTGAGTGACCGGAGGGGCATTAGATGCTGAGTGGAAATATATGTTCATCAAAGACCACATGGCGGGACACGATTTTTTTGGTAGTGGGTGTAAGCATCTATAACCCTTATGTTGAAGTGAGTAGCCTAGGAAAATGCATTGTACCGATCTCAATTCTGATCTCAATTCAAATATGTGAGATGTTTGGGGCTTTCTCCATGGGCAGCATGCGCAGCCAAAAACGCAAAGATGGGTGTAGGACGGGACGAATTGGTGGAGGTGTTCATAGGGCGATATGTGATTAGTGGTTATTGTGGGTTAACAAGGAGTACTGCAGTGAGGAGACTATCAGTCCAAAACTTGTAGGGAGGAGTGCTTGATGTAGTATAGCCTGAGTAATCTCAATGATGTGTCGATGCTTCCTTTCAACGACTTCATTTTGCTCGGGGGTGTGGGGACATGAATAATGGTGTAGTATGCCAAGGTCATTGAGGAATGTATTTAAGGTTAGATCGAAGAATTTTAATTTTAGTGTTGAATTGGTGTTGGAGTGATTTAATCAAATTTGTAGTGATGTTTGTGGTCTTAAAGTTTGTACACATAGGAAAAAACCCAACAAAATTTCGAGAAATCATTATTAAACGCAATGTAATATCTATAGCCTTGATAAGAGATAATTGGGGAAGGATCTCATACATCGCTATGAATAAGTTCTAGTATTTTATATTTTTGTCCTATGTTAGATACGCAAAGGGCTGCATGTGGCTCCTGCTAAGGTTGCCTGTGTTGCATGAAGTTGAACTGGATGGGATAAGGACAGATTGGTGTTTGGATATGGTGGCCAAAATGTCTGAATGTGGATGCCACAATTCAGCTTGTTGTATTTTGGACAGAAATATAGTAAATGCATGTGGTACATGAGTAGGTGCGAGAGTGGAGTAGAGTCCTCTGGAACTAGAATCCTTAAGAAGTATCTGTTGAGTTTGAGTATAAGAAATGATAAAGCCAGAAGGATCAAATGACACATAAGCAGATTGCCTTTGGTTAGTTTGTGAAAAGATAAGAGGTTATGAGAGATTAGAGGAGTGTGATGAATTTGAGAGAGTTAGAGCTTACAATTTGGATTGGGAAAGAGAACATCACCTTTGTGTTGAATTGGAACTGCTTGTCCGCTATCTAGCATGACTTCTTCAGTGGAGTTGACTAAGGTCGGATATGAAGCGGGTGGTTGCACTGGAGTCTAGAATCCATTCCTTGAACGTAGCATTGAGGGCTTGAGCTGGAATTGTGGGTGCATATTCAATATTAGTGCTATGCCAACTGATTGATGCAGAATGACCAGTTGACATATTTGGCATATTATGTTGGATTGAGTTGATGTCTCCTCGCAATCCATTGGAGTAGCCTTCCGTTTGATTTGTTGGTTAATTTATGTCGCTTCCACTAGTGAAGTGTGAGTTGTGTCCTCAGGATGCATTAAGCGTCATGGGAGTTTCGGTGGTAGGGAGTTTCTTTGCATTTTCGTTGCTGATATTGATCTCCTCGCTACAAAGAAATGAGTAGAGTTCATCCAAAGTTATAGGTTGGAAGGCCATTGAGAATATACAAGATGACATCTTCTTGATCCAGGTTGAATCTGGCAGCAGTGATGTAATCTACCAAAGTTCAGGTTTTCGTCAAGTATTGTGCCATAGTTTGATCCTTCATGGATATATGGTGCAGTTCGTTTTTTAGTTGAATCACCATGGTTCTGTTCTTAGGTTGTAATGTGTGCTCTAGGGTTGCCCTAATCTCTATAGTAGTATGGAAATTAATGATGTGAGGAAGAACTGTGGGCGAGATCATGGATTATAGAATGGTCGCTAGGTTTTGATCACTGAGATTCACTTGGAATTGGGGGTTTTCGATTCTCTCAGGATTATTCCAGTTGAAGTACAAGGTAGACTGATTGTTTCCATCAAGAAATCCAGGAAAACCATTTATACACATAGGAACTGTGGGGGACACTAAACTCCTTCCCTGTCCTTATGGTATCGAAGCTTACCTAAGAGAAGAGGAATGTGCATCCCGATCCGTTAAGTCCTTGGCTCATCATTCCCACATCTCTTATACCATAAAGACAAGGAAAGAGTTCCTTTGGCAGGGATGAAAACTAGAGGGAAAAGTAACATTTCATTAATTTTTATCTACTGTTTATATAGTATAGTACAGAGAGTATATATAGGCCATGTGGAATCTTCTAGAGTTGTTGCTATATTATCACCTGCTGCAATTCGGTTGTGTTTTGATTTGTTGGCGTTATGGACCACTAGTGGTGGTGCTATGTCTAACAAAATCAAAATATTATGAGAAACCATCGCCATTCAGTATAAAAAGGGAAATCTACATACCTAGAACACAATTCTTATGCATTTACATATCTCACACCTAAACTTTCATGTTTACATACATAGCACTTTGAAGATTTAAACCTCAGCATCAAAAGATGTATTTCACTTTTAAAAAGTATTAATAGCGCTATTTTTTATGTGATATTAAAGAGTTGAGTACTATGTGCCTAAATATGAAAGTTTAGGTGTGAAATATGTAAATGCATAAGAGTTGTGAGTTGTGCATATAAGTGCCCCTAAAAATTCAATTTTTTAAACCAACCAACGTTTCAAAACCGTAACTTACCTTTGCCATGCCTGAAACTACTTTATTCTCTTTAGTGAACTTTCCAATGCTGAATAAGCAGCTTCATCACTCAAACTCTTGCTCTCCCTCGCATAATCAAACACCTCATAGGCTGCTGCAATCTTATTCCCCCTACACAGAGACCTCAAAAAAGTCGCATAAGTGGGACTCTCCAGCTTCATTCCCCCATCAGTCATTGTTTTGTACAACAGAACACCCTTATCTAGGCTCCCAGCCTTGCAGAGCCCCATAAGCAGAGCATTGTAGGTAAACTCATTAGGGCTGCAACCCCTCTCCTCCATCTCCCCAAGCAATTTTAAAGCCCCCAAAGTGTCTCCTTTCCTACACATTCCGCTGATAAGAGAAGTATAAGTAGCAATATCAGGAAAAAAACCTGTGCTTGCCATCACATTCAAGAATTTCTTAGCCTGTTCAATCATGCCGTACTTAGATAATCCATAGATTAACGTGTTATATGTGACGAGATCCGGCTCGATTCCTTCATCCTTCATTTTGTTGTAGACGTCCATCACCTCCCCGCACTGGTCCAACATGCAGTAAGCTTTCATGATGTTGTTGTAAAGATAGGAATCCGGCTTGATGCCGGAATGCTTCAGAACGCTGAGCAGGCGCGTGGCTTCCCGGAGGTTGCGGCTACGGCAGACTGAATCGATGAGGATAGTGTAGGTGATGCGATCAGGGAGAATATTGGCGGAATTGCGGAGGTCTTCGATGAACGAGTAGACAACGGAGAGGGAGAGGGTTTTAGCGAGGCGGCCGACGAGGAAGTTGTAAGTGAAGGGATCGGGATGGAGGGAGGAATTGCGGAGGAGGAGATTAGCGGCGTCGTCCTCGCGGGAAGCGGAGCAGAGTGCGCGAATGGCGAGATCGGCGGAGGATGAGTCCGGGGGGAAACCGGAGGAGGACATGAGGTCGAGGAAAGTGAGAATGGGGGAGATGTCGCCGATGGTGGGCTGGAGGCAGGAGTGGACGAGGAGGATGTGATAGGTTGAACGGGTGGGGGAGAAGGAAGGGAAGCGGAGTGAGAGGAGACGGACGAAGGCAAGAGAGTCGGTGGGGGAGGCGCCGGTGTTGCAGAAGGATTGGAGAAGAGTGTGGGGGTCGGCGGAGGAGGGGGAGTCGGCGATGGAATCGAGGA